CAAGAAGATGAATCAGCCACACACATCTTATGTGATTGTGAGGCTATAGCTTACCTAAGATATCGCCACCTGACTCAGTTCTTCATGGGACCAAGTGACTTTTATGATGCCCCCATAAATAAAGCCCTACATTTCATTCGAAGTGTAGACTAATAAATGGTTAATCCAAGGGGGAAGCACAATAGATCATTGTAGGTCACAGTGCGAGGGCTGGTTTTTATTGCTCGCCCCTCCTACTCATACTCATATGTCACAGTGTATGTGAATGCTTATGTTGGCAGCTCTGGATCTACAAAACTGTGGTGTTGGCAACACTGGTGGCAAAGCAGCACTGGAAATGCTCCAGTTAAATGTGAGCCTAGCCGTCATGGACCTGCGTGCTAACAAGAACATCAACTCGGAGCTGTTGACTCAGATAATGAGGCGCCTGTACATGAATAACCATGGTGCCTCACAGAAGGTACAGTGACAGGGACAGAAAGTGGTTGGCTTTCCTGTAGTCTGGGTTCAAGTTCTATTCCTGTCCAGGGAACCAGCAGTCATGTTTTGCCTCAGACGCTGTTAAAGTTTCTTATCATTTAGGTTTCAAAAAACTGTCAAGTTTTATCTGAACAGATGAAGTGACTCATTTGCCTTCCTAAGTGACACATGTCTTTTAAAGTATGTACTCAACTCTGAACAGCATTTTTAATTCTTCTGTGGTACTCTGGCTGTCAACACAACATATTTAAAAAATAAAACAATCTAATTATTTACATTGGTTTTATGTAATAACTGCTACATGTCTTGGTGCATAATATACATTTAGAAAACTGTCTCCCACATCAGACCCCCACCCCACCTCACCCCACCCCCCCNGCGCCATAGCTCAAGCGGTTAGTCACTGGCTTCCCACCACAGTGGCCCAGGTTTGATCCCGCGTCTGGTCAAGTGGGATTTGTGGTGGACAAAGTGGAGCCAGGGCAGGTTTTCACTGAGTACTTCGGGTTCCCCTGCCAGTCTTCATTCCACCAATTGCTCCACAATCACCCTCACTTATCATCTGGGGCTGGTATAATAGGCCAGAAGTGGTCGCAGTACAAGGGACTTAGTCCCACCCCACTAGCAATAAAAATAAAAGATTATAACATTTAATGAGGTATAATCAGAATTCAGCCTAATATGATAACTAATAATTCACTCATGTTCATTCACAGAAATATTAATTCATGATGTCACAATGAAGAAGGCAAGAAGAAACACATATAAAAAACTTAATATCAACAGTAGATATGAGTAGTGCCAGAAACACGTATGAGTATGAGTGTGAGGGGTGAGCCATAAAACCGGCCCTCACATTGTGACCTTCAATAATCTATTGTGCTTACCCCTTGGATTAACCCTTTATTAATCCTACACTTCGAATGAAATGTAGGGCTTTATTTATGGGGGCATCATAAAAGTCACTTGGTCCCATGAAGAACTGAGTCAGGTGGCGATATCTTAGGTAAGCTATAGCCTCACAATCACATAAGATGTGTGTGGCTGATTCATCTTCTTGCAAGCACCTTTCACAAGTTGGGTCGTCTGTTAGTCCCAGTTTGAAAAGGTGCCCTTTCAGGTGGCAGTGTCCAGTAAGTAATCCTACCACCCATCTGAGTTTGTCTCTGTTTAATTTAAAAGGTCCTTCGTTCTTTTGGCAGAGGTCCTGCTATAAATCCTTTTGCCTGTTTGAGTCCAGTTATGGAATCCCAGTGTTTCTTGTGATTTCTGTTAGTCCAGTCCCTGATCGCTTTCTTGGCAACTCAAATGGAGATGCCTCAAGCTGGTTCAGGTCCTATGAACAGTTGTTCAGATCCTGTTCTTGCCAGCTGATCTGCCGTTTCATTCTCAGTGCCAGAAACACGTAAGTAATTTACCTACAACACAAGATATAAAATACACATAATCCTAAAATTTATATACTAATACAGGTGCTATTTTACTTTCAAATAAAAACAGCTAACCCCAGAAGATGGGCAGACAGTAGCATTGTTGGTTGAGGTGCTATGCTACAAGCTGGAAGATCACAAGTTCCAGTCCAAATGAGGTGGATTTTTTCCAGTTGTCCTAATCCTTATAGCTGCACTATGGCCCTGGGGTCGACTCAGCCTTTAACAGGAATCTTCCGGGTGGGGGGCGTAAAGGGCAGCTGGTGCATAAGGCTGACAACCTTATCGCCATCTGTGAGCCGATTGTCTAGAGAAAATGTGGGAGCCTTGATGTCTCACAACCCTATGAGTCTTCACGCCCTGTTACAGGGATAGCTTTACATTTTCACCTTTACATTTACAACCCCAGAAGATAAACACCACCTACAATATGCGACAAACAACACACAATTTTACATTGTAATGAGAGAATTTTTAAAAATTTAAAAATCTCTTTACAGTTTTGGTAATAATTACATGTATTCTGATGATTATAATAATTAACACTAATATGAATCCATATTAGGATATTTCAGTAACATGAGAAGTATTTAATGAAACTGCCTCAGGATGGACCAAAATATGGACTGAAACATGGAGCAGTTATTAAATAAAACTAACATAAACAATTAGGTTATATTAAGAAGAAAGCAGTCTTCTGGGATTTGGCACCGTGTATATGTGGTGTTAACCGATGTTTCGGAGGAACGTATCGCCTCCATCTTCAGGGTAGAAGAAAAAATATAAGAAATCTGCAAGCTAAGAGACCGTGAGAACCGGTAAAAGGAGACTGTGGTTATTTTATTTTTGAAATATTTGTTGTGTTGAAGGCTAGAGTATCACAAATCATTACACACAACAGGATGCAAACACAAAATCATTTTTCATATTTAAATCCAGATTATCCAACGTCTGGGGATTAACTGTAACCAGATTAGCAAGGGTTTTACTTTACTAGTACGATATGTTCTATATATGGCACAAATAAAAATCACGATGTGCAGCTGTAATTATATTTTATATGTGTCTAACTCCTTACCACACAAGATGAACTGATGTGTGTATCATGTAGTAACTGGGAGCCCCTAGGCCACGCCATAGCTCAAGCAGTTAGTTGCTGGCTTCCCACCTTAGGAGCCGGGGTTCAATCCCGGGTCTGGTCAAGTGGGGTTTGTGGTGGACAAAGTGGCGCTGGGGCAGGTTTTCTCCAAGTACTTTAGTTTCCCCTGCCAATCTTCATTTCACCAATTGCTCCACAATCACCCTCACCTATCATCTGAGGACGGTACAGTAGGCCAGAAGTGGCCGCAGTACAAGGGACTTAGTCCCACCCCACTAGCAATAAAAAAAAAAGAGCCCTTTGGCTGCATTGTAGGAGAACAGTATTACTTGTATGTTCCAGTACCACTGGATTGCTGTCAGCTGCCACCAGTTGCCACGACAGCCCCTCAGGCCGAAGTTGTGTATTCACCCCAAATTGCAACCACTGCTCAAAAATACATCATCTCTCAAGTTGGACTTGTTGGCAACAGAGCCCTCTAAGAGGTCTGTAGGTTTTTGTGTCTCTAGCACAACACATTACATAGCTGCTCTCCATTGTACCATAAGAGTTACTCCTGCCAGACCAGAAAGACCTCTAATGTACTGCCTTGAGACTGGCCCAGGTTGGGGGTGCTGGGGGCTGGAGAAAAGTACGTAAAGAGTAGCTCCATAATTACTTTTTTTCACCATCTGCTATTATGATGATCAACTGAAAGAGGATAAGATGAGCAGGACATGTAGCATACATGGGACAGATGACAGATGAACACAAAATTTTAAGAAGACCTAGGTTTAGATGGCCATATCACATGAAAGTGTATCTTAAGGAAATAAGAATAGACAGTGAGGACTGGATTCATTTGGCTTGTGATGGGAGTTAGTGTGGGGTTTTATAAAAGACAGTAATGAACATTCATCATCCAAGAACCTAGTAATTCTGTATCAAGTTTCTTGACTGGTTGTACAACTATTAGCTTTTCCACTTAGATGGGTAGTCATACTGAGGCCAGCTGGGTTGAGCAGACTGTTGCTGTCTGAGCACTGAGACACAGCCCCACTCTGCTGTGTTGCAGGAGAAAGGTATCTGTCCTCACCAAGGGTGTGCCGTGGCGGGTGTCTGTGAGGCTGGACAAGCGCAGGTAAGAGTCAGCATGGTTAATGATGGATATATGGATCCTGTGCATGTAGGTGTGTCATTGGTAGCCTACTGTTACAGGGAGTGTGCTGAAAACAGTCCTGGGGTTCCCCGAATGGTGCAGCACTTGGAGCCAGAACCTCCATACCACATGCAAGCACTGCCGCCCACACCGCCCTGCTTGGAACTTACGAAGGCCAAGTAAGCTCTCAGATTTATGGTTTTCCTCACTTCCTCCACACAAACGTTAGAAGCCTTACTAGAGATGTCAGGCTTACTTGTGTGTCATGTTACCGTGTGAGTGCACCATGTTGCAGGAGGCAGTTGCTGTGGATGTCGGAGCAGCTGAACATGGAGACTGCCAAGTGCAGACAACTGGAAGAAAAGAACATGATTCTACGGCATCACCTGGAAGATTTCCTGGGCCATAACCGTGTGCTGGTGGAGAAGCAAACTGTGGCTCTGATACAGCAGTGTTTCAGTGACTTCCAGAACTTCATACTGAAACTCCGCAATGCAGGGTACGTCTCTGGAGGAGAAGAGTTCTTAACAGCAACTGATGCAAATCTTAAATGGGAACAGTGGATTAAGACTTCAGAAACTGTACATGAAGCAGGAGGAAATCTTACACACAGAAAAATTATGCGGGGATTCCATTGTAATTACATTGGTTCACATACAAGTATGTTGTGATCCACCACAATCATTTGATTCAGATTGGTAAGAATTTCACACACGTTTCCAATAACATTTCCCATTCACTTCTCAGTGTTCTGTCTACAGCAAGCATTGATGGTTGACCTTGTTTATTTTTAAAATTATATAACCTAAAAATCCAGACAGTATACAGTGTCAGACGATTCATTGAGACTCATCTAGTCTCATCATTTCAGACTTTGAAAATCACTCAATTTTGAAAATTTGCTCCAATTGGTCACCAGGTGAACAGGAACCTACTCTGTTGGTTCCCTTGATAGATCTGCTCTCTAAAACCATGGTTCACAATCTGTGGTTTATGTGATGAAGCAAACGAAATTCAAGACATAGTTTTTCTACACAAGTTGCATGATGGATAGAATAAACTACAAAGTCTTGATGTGTCATGCCATCATCAGTAACTTTAACCTCAATAATAACCTCAACATCTCACAACCGTATGGGCCTCCACGGCCTGTTACAGGGATACCTTTACTTACTTACCATCACACTGATTTCATCAAATAAACAAAAGCAGTACAGCATCTCAAGGCAATAAAGTAGTTGCAAGTGCATACAAATCCTCATTATTGCTTTTTTGCTTCAGATTTGCCAGTATTATTAATTTCACCGTGGCTATAAACTGACATACATAAACCACACAATTTTGTTGAATTGTCATATTTTTAAATAAAAGAATTATTTACACAGAAGTGGTTGACTATTTATGATTAACAACCATTCCAAATTCAGGGTGGGAATCAATATTGGGTCTTCCATTATTTCCCACAAATGGAGATTTTGAACAGTTGCATTCTGCAAACATATCACCATTATAAGACTCAGATAACTGTTGCACAATATTGCACCTGTTCAGCCCATGTAACTCAAGATCATATCCAATGGGGACTAGAAGCTCTCTCTTTTAAAGTGTGATGTTGGCATGGTCGAGAGTGGTGCTTCCCACTTATAAAATGAATCAATCCTTCTGGAGGTCTTGATGTTTCTGGATTCCCATACTCCAGCATGTCTTCTGTAATGTTCATGTTCCAGTTGGGTGATATCACTGCCACAGTTGAGCAGTGCACCTGTAATGTGATGCTACTGTTGAGTGATGTGCCTGTGGTGTTAATGTCGCAGTCAGTGATGTGCCGGTGGTGTTGGTGTCTCAGTCGAGCAATGTGCTTATAATTTTTGTGACACAATTGAGTGAAGTGCCTGTAATACTGGCAACACAATTGAGTGAAGTGCCTGTAATACTGGCAACACAGTTGAGTGATGTGCCTGTAATATTGGCAACAGCTGAGTGATGTGCCTGTAATATTGGCAACACAGTTGAGTGATTTGCCTGTAATATTGGCAACAGCTGAGTGATGTGCCTGTAATATTGGCAACACAGTTGAGTGAGTGATGTGCCTGTAATATTTGTAACACAGTTGAGTGATGTGCCTGTAGTGTTGGTACATCTGAGAGCCTGTAACATTGTCAGCTCTTTCTGTTTCAGCTTCAGTGACCTCGTGGATGCAGATGTTCAGAACCCTGACACAGACCATGAGGGACACTTAGCATTTCACATCAGGAAGTCATACAACAGTCCTGCAGCATGTGACAAGTGCATCCAGACAGACTTGCAGATAGTCGGCAAGTCAGCTGCCATGTTCAAGGACTGGCCAGTGCAACCTGCGGAGATGCACGTGGAGGACTCCGCTTCTGTCGGGGTATGAGAGGAGAAACTGTATTTTTGACACAGCTTCAAACTTCAGATGCTTATTTTGTTTCATGAAGAAGCCAGAAGTTTGTTATATGTCATGTTCAGAATTCCATGTAGTGTTTATTCGAAGTACCTTAAGGTTACTGACCATTACCCCAAGCTCTGTGCAATGTTTTTTCCACTGGATTCATTAAGACCTCCCACACAGCTTATGTAAGGGTTCTGAAGGATTTCTTGTGATTTCCCATTTTGAATCATAATAGTGAGCTGCAGCATTCATAACAAGTGCCAACCTGTATTGCATGATTGGCTACATGCTGCATACCCATACCACCTCCTACAAAGATTAGGTAAATTGTTTGATAGGGTTCAGTTTACTGATACATGTTTCGTGTTAGGTTACCATCTGAGTATGTCTAATGTATTTTCTTATGCTGATTAAGTAGTATTAAAACTCAGACGTGTTTGAGTCATAAATGACCATCTTCACCAGATATCAAGGAAACTTTATAATTTGTTTGTCTGAGAAGGAGATATAAAATGTCTTTGAGTCATAACATTTCTATAAACAGTTGAAACTATTGTTATGTTTAAGTTTATTGACATGACCCATTCTTAAATACAATTTTCTTGATAGCTGGTGTGTTGCACCCCAAAAATTGAACTTACGGATGGAGGCATTGCAGTTTCGTCTGCAATTTTAGAGACACCTGAAGATGACCAGTGTTAGTAAACATGTGGTATGCATTCACCAGTGATGTAGAAGAGACTTTAAAGTCTTGAAAAGCAAGTTGCATGTAAGACGGATAATAACTAACAAGGAATAAATGAGGATGCTGTGGTACAATGTTGTGTCATACTATTTCGTGTGTTGCAGTCGTGTGTTGATTTTGTTACAGTGTCTGGTGATGCATGGCATTGATATGTGGTTCTTGAGAGGCCAACAGCTCACCTCTGAAGAATGAGACCAGAGCTGTGTAGTGTGGTAGAATTTTACAAACTTTTGGTGGAATGTACTGCCTCCATCTTCAGGGTTTAGGCAACCAACCATCAAATAATGTGATTTAATTGCAGGTTGTATCAGCAGATGGCAATGCTGTTGTCTCATCTGAGAGTACTCTTGACACCTCAGGACTCTTAATCAGACATCAGTAGTCTGCAGCCACATGAAAGATGCAAAAAAAAAAAATAATATTAAGATTGAACTGGCTTAAGATGGGCTCAAAAGTCAAGTGGGAACAAAACTAATGGAAGTAGCTGCTTGGGACCCATTGCTTAGGGAGGACTCTTGTTTTGTATAGCTGGGGAAAGGGACCAACTATTCTGGTTGTCTTCTCAGTCCCTCCTTGTACATGAATTAGGCCACAACTCAACATTCACACTACATGACCTGTTGACCTGTTGACCTGTTGAGCTGAATAACCTAATAGTCAGTCCTGTTGTGGTAATGCCAAGGTTAAGGATGAATATCTTCATAGTGTGATTTTGAATTGGTGTTTGCAGGACTGCCTGGATCTTGCAGACAGTGAGACAAACCAAAGGAGCAGCACTCAGGAGGAGAATGCAGCCAACACAAAGCACGACAGCAGAAGGAAAGACATGGGGAGGGTGCACAAGAAGGATCTGGGTGATGCAAATTACATACTGTACCAGACAGTGCTGCAGAAAAACAAGGAACTGGATCGTGTTGGTCTGCAGTTCAGCAAACCAGATGTGAACATAACATCAAAGAGCAAGTCCTTTAAGGGAGACATGTTGGTAGCTCCGGCAGATACTGTGTTGTGCCGTGGAGGCTTCAGCATCAGCTCGGGATCATGAATAATTTGTGTGCCTGAGGAGTTACCTTGTGGTCTGTTTCCAGGACTTACAAGATGGAAAGTCTGAGATGGTTCACACACCAAATTAGCTGTGATGAAACAGCTTCATATTATCACGTGTATGAGTGACTATAGACAGGGTTTGGATTGGTGAACTAGAAGTAACTATAACAGCCTCACTGGTACACCCACTCTGTAAATCACTGTAACTGCAGCCCATGTAAAGTCTTCTGTGTCTAAAGGATGTTAACACTGTCATCTGCTGACATTCTTTCAGTCTGGCGAATATCCCGTAACTTCCCCAAGCTCTAAACTCTGTCCCACTTATAACCTTTAGGCATGGACTGCACAAAATACGCGTCTTCTGTGGCTTTGTGTGGGTATGTTAAAGGCATTATCTAATGATGGCCGCTGTTTACATAGTCACCGCTTAGCAGCAAATCTACATGCTACTTACTTACTCATGGAGCTGAGCCCTTCTGGAGGAGCCGCCAATTCTGCAGCTACTCAAGAATTTCCCAGCATTTTATGGAACCCGAAGGTTCATTACCGTGTTCACAAGAGCCCTCCACTGGTCCCTATCCTGAGCCAGATCTATCCAATCCATAGCATCCCATCCTATCTCTCTAAGATACATTTTAATATTGTCTACCAACCTACGCCTTGGTCTTCCCAGTGGTCTCTTTCCTTCTAGCTTTCCCACCAATATCCTATACGCATTCCTCGTCTCCCCCATTCATGCTACAGGACCTGCCCACCTCATTTTCTTGACTTGATCATTCTAATTATACTTGGAGAAGAATACAAGTTTTGAAGCTCCTCATTATGCAGTTTTCTCCAACCTCCTGTCACTTCATCTCTCTTCGGTCCAAATATTCTCCTCAACACCCTGTTCTCAAACACCCTCAGTCTATGTTCCTCCCTTAATGNGATCTGTTATCATTTTTCCTAGATATCTGAACTGTGCCACATTTTCAAAACATCTGTTTCCTATCTTTATGTCATGATTTTGCCCTGCATCTTGGTGACGAGACAGTAACATATACTTAGTTTTCTCAATCTACATGCTACCATATATTAATTTATTTAATAAATTCTCTTCTTATATTCTTACACCACACCTCTTCAAGTGCATGGTTCTCACTTGTTTTGTGATCTGTGCACAATCTGTACAGTGAAATTGTTGTAATCTTACTCTGTTGCAAGAATGACATCAAGCCAAGGAAAGAAAGAATATGGACAGTGGGATCAGGCCAGCCACTTCCTCTCCCACGACACCTATACAGCACCCCTCCTCTGTCAACACCAATAACACAGAAGTGACATTCCTTTTTTTAAAGTGGGGGAAGGCATAGAGGGGTAGGTGAGACAGATGGGTGAGAAGAATGTGCTCATTCTTTCCCTGACTTGACTTCACTAAAGCAACATCAATCTCATTATAATTTCTTGTGATTCATGTGTATTGGAGGAATGTATTGAAAGGGGACATATTCCTAACTGGATGGAGGTATGTTGACACGACTTCCACATGGTGTGGGGTTTGATTCCAGAGGCTTCAGAAAGTGTATTTCTTTAAAGAATTTATTAGGGCCTGTGGGTCAAATTTCTCCTGTCCCTTATTACATAGTATCTGCATTGCCCACTTAATTAACCCCTCTTAGGTCCATACATTTTTGTTTTCAAACATATGACATTTATGTTTCTTCTGTCAAGGTGAGGGATTCATAAGAATACAAAACAACTTATACAATATTTGTTTCAGGATCAAATGAACACATGGCGATATATTTTTTTGAACTGAGTTAAATTTTAAGATGTTCTGGGATATAGAACTTCATATCAGATATAAGGATGTAAAAGCATCAAACCCCAGTGTTCCTTTTGTCAGTAGCACTGATAAGAAGTAGTCATCAACAATAAATCACATCTGTGTAGGCATGAAAGATGTAATACTGGTATGGCACTCCTGACTTTGAAAGCCAAAGATGCTGTCCAAGAAATTGGTGAATTTGTGGGAGTCTACTGTAGGAAGTGGTTCGAGAGTTTGCAAGTCCATATGTTGTAGGGTGTGTTCCAGATTTGTGCATGTTGTGTAGTGGACGTGTCTGTCTTCATGCAGCTGCTGCGCCAGCTCCAACTGGTGATTGTTCATGAGTTCCTCATTGATTACAACCAGCAGTGGTTTCCTGGCACTCAGAACCTCCAGGCAGCTGCCAGCACCAGCATGACTGATGATCAAGTCTGCACGCTGGATATCCTCAGTGACTGAGTCCTTGAACCGGAAGTACTCCACTTGCACATCGCAGATCAAACCAGATGGAGGCACGATGGTCCCATGACCAATCTGCATTGTCAGCTTGGTGTAGCCCCTTTCTCGGAGTACCTATAGAGAGGCCACAAACTGCTACAGGATCCTCCATGCTGAATTTTCGGTTACTCTCCTGGTTACAGAATTCCCTAAGATTTGAGGTTTTCATGATGGTGAAAATTAAGTGTAGTCTGCTGGGTTAGGCCACTATGTAGTACAGTATATGGTTACCAATGTTCTACTTTACCCTGAAATTGAACTAGTCTGTTCTGTTAACTACCTGTCAGAAACTCAGAAGACCACACAGAATGGTCTCAGGGCAGTCAGACAGCAAAATAAGATCGTGAATCCCATGGGCCTCGGAACCAAGAAGCACTATGCTGGTGAGGGCAAGTAGCAAGTTAGCAGTCAGTCAGAAGACTATAATAGTTAGAATAGTCACACCTTCATACCCTATCCCTCTAAGGTCTATTTCACTGTTATCCTCCTATTTATCTGTGGGTCTCCAAAACTGTTTCATTCCTAGAGGCTTACAATCAGACTTCTGTTTTCATTTCTTGTTTTGCCCATCCATACTACACATCCTAACCACGTCATACTTTTTTATTCAATCATCATAACAATAATGACTAAAGAGTACAGATATTGAATCTTTTGATTATGTACTTTCCTAAACTCATGTGTGAGTATTGCAAGTGTTTGGAAAAAGTACAGTTTTGTATGGGGCTTACTGAGTGGGTTACATATGAGAATTGCAAGGTAAGACTACTTTATCTACAACACCTGATGGGCCTGCTGAAATTCTCAGTAACTCAGATGGGGTTAACAGCAAATGTACTGAAGAGACAGAGCAGAGAACTTCAAGCCCAGACTTACATTGTTATGAGGAAAGTTACACAAAATAATAATCACTGAAAATATATATTTACAGATGGCAGTGAACTGAGTTTTTATTCAAGTCGTTTGTGGCCATTGAAATAATATGAATATTACAGGTAATATGGCCAATGTGTGCTAAACTGAAGGGTGGTGACGAAATACAGCCATGCGTTAGACGACTTGAATCTGTGCAATAATAAATGGAGGCCACCACAGCAAATATGGTAAAATGGACAACAATATCTATGATTGCTAGGAGAAACAAGGTGGAAAAGTTGAATAAGGCACTCTTTGAAGATTACCATCCTGTGGGATGCGATGCCATTAATTCTGGAAGAGCGTTCCAACATTCCATCTTCACAGTAAAAAGTAAGCCAAGCATTGGTTCAAAATGGTACAGACAAAGGGAGACTGAACCAACAGGCATAAGGAATGCAAAATATTTACAGCATTCCCTGTGCGCAGGGTCCCAGTTCTCTCAGTTCCCAGTATTCATAGCTTTTTCCCCATGCTTTACTCCTCTGTCCTGAAAATGAATGGGACAGATTGCTGTGAAATGTTGGAACAATCTACCACACTGCCCGCCATGTCTTCTCACAAGACTGTATCCATCACCACCATGAGGACCTTGGGTGTTAGTTTCATTTATATTCTACACTCAAAGCAAATATTTTGTTGGTACTATTAGATTTTCTGAAAACTGGTTGTGAGGGGAATAATATACCTACCATATCCAGCTGGCCTGCTGTGTAGAAAAAAATATTTGGAGCATTAAGCATAATGCAAGTGGTAATAAAATTTGTACTCAGTTGCACATTGTATGTTTTATCAGAAAGTTATTTCATTAGACTGTATTTCTGTCTTTAGTCATGACAAAAGTGTAACGTTACTTTAGTCTGTATGGCAATGTGAGATCTCAACTACAAATATAAGCCCAAAGGCATGTCCCCTGGAAAGGTTCATTTTGCATCAAAGGCTCACCATATTTTTACAGAAGAGGATAAAATGTGATCTCTTTATGCAGTGCTGTAGTTAGAGGCGAAATTAAAAACTTAAGAAACGTGTGTAACGATATCTTGCGTGATTCTTTTAATCGGAAAAAGAAACTTTTTGAAGCCAGGTTGGGTCCAGAAAAGCATATGACTGTTCTGTATGAATACTTTGGTTGGTCTTCATTTCTTGGAGTATTTATTATTAGTAGTATTATTGTTATTTGTTGCTTATAACCGTTGCAACTTAGTTTCCCGATGCATGCAAATTTGAACAATAGCCATTTCTTCGTACTGTTACTCATACAGCCAAGTATTTCCTCAAGCACGATTCGTATGCTCCCTGAACTAACTACCCGACACGAAAAGTAAACCGACCTTCGTATCGGATGGTGTGTTGTTAATGGTTGGTAGGCAGTTGGCATGGTATTGGCAAGTTCGGTAGTTTCACTTAATAGCAAAATGTGTGCAGTTCGGTGATCGTTATTTAATCAGTAGCAGGGCACAAAAGTTTTCTAGTTTGACGTTAATGAACAAGGTAATATATAAAGAAAACGCGAAAACATTGGTGCAGTGTCTTATATTTGTACGTGTTTGACTTGTTTTCCAAGGCATTGGTTTATTCCTGGATATTCTTTGTAAATAATCTTGTTGACTTCGTTCTAGTATTATCAAACTGTCAGCACCTTTAATTTTCTGACGGCCGCTTCGTATTGTATCACATAAATTCGTGTAAATATTCAATGGGAAAAGGGCCATACCAAGTCCAACACTATTTTTCACATTGCCTGTACTTATTAGTGAGTGTTCAGAGAGTGTCTTCCCTTATCAAGAATCGCAAAGGTTGTTATTCACTTACATGTAGGACTTTTTCGCAGGAAAGAGTTGATATAAATAGGTCAAATTTTGTTGTTCCTACTGTAGCGAATATATGTCCCGACGCCATTTTGGGTTCTATCGCAAAGGCTTGTGGTTTTCCAGGAATGGCGTAGACTTATCGTAGGCCTAGGTGAGCGAGCAATTTTGTAGTATTTCTTATAACTTAATTTTGGTAAGGTAGAGGACCGTACTTACAAGGTGAATTCATTGAACTGCTAGTCAAATTGAACTAATGAGAAGGCAATCAGAGATCATCTTTGAAGTAGCTTTGTCAGATACGGGAATATTACGTTTTCTAAGAAATCTCTTACTTAAGCGAGTGGAATTACTCATCATGGTTCGTTCCCCTTCGTCGACTCATAATTACTGCAGGACATGCCTGGGCTTTGTGGAGATAGTGATATGACGTGTCTGATAGTTATTTTTGGAGGTGGTTGAGGTCATTGTGTTGTGGGTGCATATTATTGACTCCTCTGGCCTTGATAAGGTAAAGGCAAAGCTATCTCTTATTTAATTAAGTGCCACGCCATTAGGACGTTTAAGGGAGTGAAGGTATGGCCCCTCACATTCCTAACCTAGAAATTAAATTAAGGTGAGTGGTCATCTTCACCTTCCAGCCACTTTACCCCGTGGGGAGGAAATCCTCTGATACTCATTGGGTGTAAGACATGGTGGTCAGGAAATAGTGGAGAGGAGAAAAATATGTTATTAATATCTTGTGTACTGAAGGTAGTTTGAGGGTATAAGATAAAACTCTGGTTCTTGCTATATATTAAGTTACGAATGCTCCACCAGTCTTAATATAATTACAGAGAGCAACTACTTTTGTTTTGTATTCTAGTTAAAGGAATTCTTGTTTCTCTTGATTCAGTAATATTGTAGCCACACACTTGTTAATCTTGTTATTCAGATAGAATTTGAAGTGTAATGCAGAACTGTGTATTTATGTGGCTTTGTATGTGCATGTATTTAATGATTGTTCGTAAAATACCTCATTGTTTCCAACATTTCTTCAAGTAAAGCATGGAATTATATGAAAACCTAGTGCTTGATATTGCAGATTTAATTGAAGGGTGGATACACATGTAGTTATGACAGTTTAATTGTCTTCAGCTTCCTCACCTCAGTTCACAGCACATTCTGTTTGGAGCTTCCAGCATGAGGATGCTTTAATTTTGGAATTATGCTGTTTGTATTTGTCACAGTACATTTCTTGCTGGCCCATTCCTGTGTTGCAGAGATCTTGCAGTCCTTAAGTCCCTCATGGTGATGGACTGGCAGTTCAATTTGCATTAACAACAACCCACAGCTCCCTGCATGCAGCTATGTTTGGACTAACATTCCCACAGAACCCCCATGTAAAGGTAATGTCACACTTAGAGGCCTGTCATTTTGCCACAGATGTGACATTTCAGGGGTGTCAACCCCTCAGCCAGTGTAGCATTTTGCAGTTCATGTGCCAGTTTTTTAAGACCATTTAGCTGACTTTGCCATTATGAGACAGTGTATAGTTAGACTTAAAACACTGTATTGAAAGCAAGTAAAGGTATCCCTGTAACAGGCTGTGGAGGCCCATAGGGTTGTGAGATGTTGGGGTTGCCACATTTTCTAGACACTCAGCTCATAGATGGTGGTAAGGTTGTCAGCCTTACTCACCGGCTGTCCTTTACCCCCAACAGTATTCAAAGAATTAGGCTCTATGCTACAAGCTGGAAGGTCGCAGGTTCAAGTCCCGATGAGGTCATTGGATTTTTTCAATTGACTCAGTCCTTCCAGCTGCACTATGGCCCTGGGGTTGACTCAGCCTCTCACAGAAATGAGTACCAGAAATAAAACACTGTATTACGAGCCATAAGTTGGAAGCTCAAAAAGATAGTGTGTGTCTCTATGTATATATATATATGCATGCTTATTATGTGAAGGACCTGGGGTAGCTCAGTTGGTTGGTTGGTAGGGGCAAAGGTTTTCTCTGCTCTGCAGCATTCATGTTAATTGTGGGGTGCATCCAGCACCCTTCTAGTGGGCATTGTTAGGATTCCTTCTTGATTGATAAAGCAACTCAGTCAAGAAGTAAACCCGTCATCAGCATCTAGTGTCAGAAGTCAAGCCTGGAACATATGTCGGTCTCCCATGTGTTTTAATGACATGGTGCTTAATTAAAAGTACAGGAACAACTTTACCTATTATTTTTTCACACAATTGTAAATTACTGTATTCCAAATTAGTCCACCATGCACATTTTCGTTCTTCACACGTCTAGACCTGGGTGTAAATTGGTGAGGGTATCTCTGTATCAAGCCTGATTGCCAGAGGCACATTTTTTAACTCTGAAATATTGATTTTCTTTTGGGTTTCTGTTTACAACTTAATCACATACCCTGTGGATGAAACCTCGTAATTTGGTTAGCATCTTGACATGAAAACTTTTCAGTTTCCTTCTTCGTATGATTGTAATGTTACTAGAGGTTACCTCTCATTTCTTGGTAGAGAAGTTGATGTTTTGGTTGCTAATAAGCTGGCGTGTTTACAGTTCTAAATTTTTGGTGTAACACAGACACTCAGGTTTGAGTCTGGATTTGTTTGTTCTGGTGTTGGCGTTAGATCAATAACAAGCAGCTGAGAGGTGCAGGGTTTCCCCTGGAAAGGTAATAGTGATGCACTTAAATTCTGTGCTCTTATGGAATTGGAATGTTCATTGCAAGGTCCACAAAAGCCTGCAATTGGGCCCGAACATTGGAAAGTAAAAATGAATAATTACAAAGGACAAGTCTGTCCAATGTGACTATTTCAGTTTTCTCACTTGATGATTCACTAGCCTTACATGTTTTGATCCATGTGGATCATCTTCAGAGGCACCAAACACTTTTTAGAAACCACTATCACAACAGTTGTCATATCAAATACACATGTAATGTCCTAGTACACAGTGTTCCATCTATCACTCACAGCAGCCATTCTGGTTATAGAAAGGCTGCTGTGAGTGATAGATGGAACATTGTGTACTAGGAAATGAACTGTGTATTTGATATGACAACTGTTGTGATAGTGGTTTCTAAAAAGTGTTTGGTGCCTCTGAAGATGATCCAGATGGATCGAAACATGTAAGGCTAGTGAATCATCAAGTGAGAAAACTAAAATACTCACATTGGACGGACTTGTCCTTTGTAATTGTAACTGTTAATGTGACGGACCAAAATGAAACAAATAAAATGAATATTTATTCTTGTCTTTCATATTTATTATTATTATTATTATTATTATTATTATTATTATTATTATTATTATTTTACTGCAGTTGGGTTTTAACCCGGTGGCAGTAGTATAAAAAAGGGCAACAGACAAGTAATTACAAAAAGTAACAACACTTTCAAACAATACACAAAAAACAACAAGGACTCCCTACCACAATGAATACAAAGCAGCATAACAGAGAGAATACAAAAAAAAAA